AATCCCATCGAAGATGAAGGAGCCCGATACTCATGCGGTCAGTGGATTCATAAGAAATTCAGTTAACCCTATGGTTGTAGCTAAATCAGTTTGAAGATGAGCGTATTTTATCACTTGTATGGAGCTCGGTCTTAAGTACAACATAAGATTGACCGAAACTTAAAGGTCATACTCACCTGGTAAGTCCTAGGAAAGAACAATGGACCAGAGACTGTTGTTGATTTTTCAGCAACCTCGTGCGTTGTAGGTAACCCGAAGCCAAGACTAATTCTAGTGCTCAAAATTCATCCATAAATCATGGTGTTGGTTGGCTGTGCTCCTGAACGTTCATAGCTTGTCTGGTTTTCTTGATGACAAGAGAACTCTAAGACCACTATGAAAGTCAGTTCCTCGGTGTGTGACCACGTTTTTCTCGCTGAGTTCTCTGTCTTTATCCTCATCCATGAGTGTTCTCTCGGAATCAAGCCTGACAGTCCCACTGACAAGAAGAATGGTGATCTGATTAAGCCTGCGGGGGCCGCTACCAAATTTGTTTCTGTTAGTATCCCTACGACCGTATCTTTCCAGCTGGATGAATCTTTTTGAAGGGATTTGTTTTTTAACGTAATATTACAACAAACAGTCGGCTCCACCACACATATTGCTCCATAACAACTCTGTCCCCTTGTTGTTGTTGAAGAAACATTTGTTTGGTAGCAGAACACACAAAAAATGAACAACTTGTGCACTGCTTGCTCTTCGTTGCCTTTGAGAGCTAGTTTCGCTTGACTGTAATGCGAAATGTTGAACTTGGTGTACTTGGTCTGTCATCGGCATCAAAACCATGTGATACCATTCAGTGGTAGGTATGGCCACTTATGTATGTTGACACGCCACTCGCCAGGGTTTGGAGGCACGCGGTTTATTTTGACAAAATCACCGTTGGTCCATGCTACTTGTAGACCGTCATATTAGGAATTTGAACGCATTGAAAATGCTATCGAGGATGACACAGTCACGTAAACTTTAATTCCGGTTCCCTTTTAGAAGCAAACCTCGCTTCTTTTGGAGGAGCACTTCCAGCCATTGGAATGCTTAATCCTCAACTTATAGGATTTCATGAAACAAAGCCTAAATTATGATAAGTGTTATACACATTCAACAACTGATGACAGACCATTGCGCAAGGAATTGTTGTTTCAGAGAACATTACAAAACTTTCAAGTACTGTAAACAAAACTACTCAAACCTAGTTAGAAATCACGATATTATCGATTTCTCGGGGCCAAAACTCCAGAGATAAGTGATACCGTTGAGCCTATTCTACACAACGCATAATCCTCAACTTATAGGATTTCATGAAACAAAGCCTAAATTATGATAAGTGTTATACACATTCAACAACTGATGACAGACCATTGCGCAAGGAATTGTTGTTTCAGAGAACATTACAAAACTTTCAAGTACTGTAAACAAAACTACTCAAACCTAGTTAGAAATCACGATATTATCGATTTCTCGGGGCCAAAACTCCAGAGATAAGTGATACCCGTTGAGCCTATTCTAACACAACGCATGTATATTTGCTTGTCAAATGTGGGCATATTATTGCCAAGGTACAATCTCTAATTGGATACTACTGTGTCAGTATTGTTCGACCCTTAAATGACGATGTCTTACTTGTGAACTCACAGTCAGTTAAGTCCGTCGTTTCGTTATGCTGGGATGTTGCAGTTAATTCGCCGCCACCTAAGACAGGCCAGCTTTAGCTGATGGTTTGAATTTAAGTGAAACAGCTCTTTGCAGAAAATATGACTTTTACCGAGTTGCCTGGAATGAACTTCTCAGAAGCAGGGACCTATCTTACACTTTCAGGTAATAGGATATTCTCTTTACAATCATAATTATGTGCAATATAGTTTTCTTCATCCAAAACAACTTACGTAAATCGGGAAGCTCATATTCAATTTCGATGCGAATCCACATGCCTGCCGACTTTGTTGTACGAGCCGCTAGTTCCGAGTGACGGCGGTGAAAGCTTTCAACGGCAATAAGACGATCACCTACTAGCAAACAATCGCTTCTGAGAAAGACCAGAAAGAGAGAGAGAGACCAGAAAGAGAATAAAGCGCATTAGAAATGTCGAAATATGACTGTCTCATTAAAAAATGTGGGGAATTTATAGGACGTAATAAAAACGGTTTGTGTGGAAACTGTATTCCTCTAACTGAGGAGCACAAAAACATGCGAGCGCTATTTGTCTCAGATTTTCCAACTAGGCTAACCTCAAGCTTGAATTTGATGCACACATAAAAACCTGTTCCTCAGACAAACTTTCCCGGATGATGTGAAATGCCGAGGCGGTTTCCAAAAAGAAACATTTGTATCATGTTTTATAAAGTAGTGTGTTTTGTTGATCGAAGGCTTGAAAACTTTGTGCACTGTGAAAATCGCCTGAGTTATTCCCTTCGGCGAAGAAATTGGTTTCTTTTGGATAAACCTGTCAAAGAACAAAGCATTTATCGTGAGCATCCCTTACGTTATTTTTAGTGCTGATGGTCTGCCAGGCCTTATGACGGAATGCATATCCCATGGTATTACTGAGAGTGCGTTAATCTGTCGTTCATCTTGAGGAGACGGTCAACATGAAGCCGTTGTAAGTATTTCGCGACTGATTGATAGGCGGCAAAATATCCTATTTAAGTGCAAGTTGTTCACACTGCTGGTCAGCTGCTTGTTGCCCAACGGCTTCCCTGCATTTATTTGAATTCACTTACAATTTTGTTTGACTCCAGTTCACAATTTTCCGACTAAAATGCATCCCCTGAGTCCCTACATGGCCCGACAGTTTGTAAATTTCATTTCAGTGCATGATAACCCGTCCCTCTTAAATGCTTCGATCAATGCTGTTATTAAACACAGTAGTACGCTGTCGCTTACAACCTCTTCACTTATCGAACCCACTATCTTTTCAAGATGTATTTTAAAAAACGACTCTCACTAGGTTTAGTTAGTTCAAACCTCAATAAACGACTTCGATTGTCTCTTAAACAACAATCAAAAATTCTGATGAATTTTATATGTGTTTTACCATTTCTTTACGCAGAGTTTGGAAGGCAACTCCTTATGAGAATATAGGTACTGCTTGATTCTTAAGATACCCAGGAATTTGGGAAGTACTCAAAATATTAGATACAAATGTTGGCTTCCGGCATTGTGGCTCTCCTCACTGACACAACCGTACGTTGACGTGTATACCAGTGGATTGCACGCAGCAAAATTGCACTCGGTTGGGTTTTGAACTTCCGGCAACATCGTGAATGTTTCAAGTGCACCACAATCCTACATATTTGCTATTTTAATAATTTTTACTCTAAATGTCTTGAGAACATACAACTGGATGAGAAGTTTTCGTTCCCTTGTTTGGATTAGGAGATGGCTTTACAAGTAAGTAAAAAAACATTTTTGAGAATGTTGAAGAGCCGCCCGCTCTTCTTCGGTAAGCAGTGACTACCTAACGACTTTTAGGAACTTTGTGCACCAACGATTTTACTAGTTTCATTTGTTTGCTCTGCAAAAGCCTTTGGTTTCCAGTGCGGTGCATTGCCCATTTCGCAGTTGAAGATTCACATCATATGAGATTTTTCAAAGTCTAGTGTCAGAAAGTAGAAGTCTGGAGAGTATTTTTAATGGTTTTTAGTGTAGTCAGGTCCCGTAATTTTTGAATAAATTTAACATGACGGAATTGTCTCAACTTGTACGATCTCCAAAGTGGTAGCGGCAATTATGCGGAAATTGTTCAGCAGTTTACGCTTCATGCGGTTTGGGTAGGTTTTACACTGATTTTCGGAACAAAGCAAAAGTTGACGCAGATCTCGAGATACATGTACGTTCAAAATGTCTTAATCAGAGCTATGTTCCTAGAGCCATAAACTGGCCTTTTAGATTTGGTTTTGTTTCTTTGAACTATAACAAATTAATTTACCTTTCCACTGATGTCCCTTTTTGACATTGCTTGAGTGCTTGTACTTCATTCCAATGGTTGAAGTATAGCGAGGTAATGCATCGCATACTCCATTTGTTCACTCCAACCCAGGTTGGTCGGAGTGGCAACGCTCCGTCGAAATTTGTCACTAGAGTTTGCATACTTGTGGGAGCCTAACAAATATCGTATAAAACAAAATGCACCCACTTGTTTTATTCGGTGCATAAGCTGTATTCAGCAGTCTAGCACTAATGCAAGCAACACGGAGTTTAGTCAGATAACCTCGGATATCAAATCACCTTGGATGGCTCCGCTGCAGAATCAAGTCTATGAAGTTTTCGTGTGCTAATCAAACGTTCCCGTGTCATGCTGGCAAGTTGCCCTGTGCGGGCATTAGAACGCAGAAGCATGCGTGGCAGTCTACGTATTTCTGCTGATAACCGCACAGCTAGTTTACACAATTCTCATCGACCCAGTCTAGCAGAAGTTTGATCGCTTACATGCATGATAGATTAAAATGTCTTCCTCGCCTAATGATTCGCATGGCTGGATGTGGCTTCAGGTTGAGCCTTATTTGGTAGGGTGCGATTAAGCGACAGAAGGAAAAGTGCATGCTAGCCTTGCTTAAGAAGGTTAGTGGAAGAATATAGCGGACCTACTGTGACGCTTTCAAAACCACATAATTTGAAAGCGCAAGCTGTCCAACGTAACAAGGTCGGGGACTACCCTCAGGAAATTAGTCAAATGATTGCCGGCTACAAATAACATCTCTGCCAGACCGCACAAAAGATGTTTGCGCAATCCATGGATATCCAAACGACGTGCCTTTTCGGGAAATAATCTGTTTCTCTGACAGCGTCGAACAGAAGTTTGTTTTCATGTGCATTAGCGATAGTGATCAAACATAATTCATTCTGGATTTATACAAGTAAACAGGATACTGTAAATCAAATTTGTGATAGGCCACTCTGCTAACGACCAAGTAAGAGAAAAAATAGTGGTTCAGTGCATATATTGCATATATTTCGACTAAACTCCAACTAGTCTGAACAATAGCCTTACAAAGGGCTACTCTCATTTATTTCCTAAACTGCACGCATAATACTCATCGGCTGCCTTGTTCACGAATACCATGCACCTTGTCGTGTTTGTTAGATCACAAAACAGCTGACACATCCTGTCAGTCAGCGTACAGTGTTTATAAAAAAATTGTTAACAAAATTTAACATTCACACAAACCGAAAGACAACTAATAAATGCGCACGTAACAGCGTTGTTCAAAACCCGCTCTTTTTAGAATGTGCATTTGATTCTGAATTACAAAGGCCAGCTTAAATGAATTAACGTGGTCGGTAAAAATGTGCGAATTTGAAGCGTGAGACATTCGACTGAAAAATGTAGTTCATCCGTTTGATTGAATTTCAGTCATAAGTGTGTAAGTAATAGATATAAGTAAAAATAACCAATACACATAAGTAATTAGTATTGTTCTTAGGTTTATTCAGCAATCCTTTCTGAAGATTTTCGAGATTTACAGGTTGATGTGATGTGTCATTCAACACGTGGTCCAAAAATGCACCCAGTTATATTTGATTGCCTGAGGCAAGCGTTTAAAATATCCCGCTTTTCACTGGAAATATTTTCTCAGCGTGGCACCACTGAAAGGCGGGATACAAACTTGATGACTACCAATGATAAAATGAAATCCAAGACTTGTATCTGGGTTGACCAAATTGTAAACGCGGTGGAAATGTGATTTTAATCATTCTACTTAGATTATGGAGATTTGCTTCTGAAAATCCAGCATTCCCCATGCAGCCATATAAGTTATCTCCGACTGATCTCATCCATGTTAATAAAGCAGCTTGAAAACGTCAACTTCCTACTTAGGCTTCAGGCTGAATGTTTTTCAGTTTGAATCTTGATGGCAAACGTTTTTTTTACGTTTACAGTTTGTATCTTAATTCTTTGGATATCTGTCAAACAGAAATCGTTGTTAAGTGTTCTTACCCTGACCAAAGTTTGGTGGGGGTCTACACCAAAATATATTTAATCCAAGTAGCTTATCCTGCGGCACTATAGATAGGATGGAAATTTTCAGTGCAGTCGGTTGACTGAAAAGTGAAGAGATATGCGAATGCGAAATTATGCTTTAAGTGAGTAGTCGAAAAGAATTGCAGATAACATTTTCCATGGAACAAATCTTCCTTAAATTAATAGTTATTGCAATCTGCATTCAAGGTAGTGCAGTTTGTGACCACTGTCAGTGCACTATCCCGAAACTAAACCTTGAAACAGATGTACGCTGCCGTAACATAAAATCGAGTTCGTTAAGTTAAAAATCAAATAACTGTTTGGCGTAACACACTACTCATAAGGTTGCGGAAAAACTTTTGACAGACCACGACGGGTTTTGCCCTTCCTGGGGGTCATCGAGTACGCGCAGTCCTGAAGTTTCCGCTATCTTCCACTTCAAATTAAATTGCACAAACTCAACTGGAACCCAGCTGAGTCTCTTGTTCATAATGTTTTCAGGCAACCGAATGTGGAATTATGTTATTAGCTGTGAATACTGGTGAGAATTGCAAGCCGACTCATTCAGAAAATCACTAGCGATCACAGTCATGAGCGCGATCATCTAATAAGCCGCAAATGTAAGGGAAGCCATCATGCAGCTGAGGATATTGGGACGCGGTCACAACTCCGTCAAAACACGGTCAAACATAAGCCCATGGATAGGACCCCATGAAGATTACTCGTCATTCAGATGTCATTATTAAGGTTCCTCAGTACTGAGATGATTGAATCATTCATCAGCTGGGTGAAACTTATTTTCATACCTCAATGGTATTCTGTGACTGCGCTTACTGATCTTTAGATCTTGAGGATAATAGCATAAAGTGCCTAACCAAAGGCTGGCGCGCCCGATCCCTCAGTCCCAACCTAATGTGTCCTAACCTGAGCAAAAACGCTGTACTTTGGGGGATCTGAGCATTAACTTTTTGATACAATCCACGATATGTCATACGCAAACGAACACAGTATATTTACAGACTTCCGGGCTGACAACGGGCTCAAATTTTCCGTTTCGGCTTCGG